ATTGCCATAGAGAATTTGTGGACTGCAAAATCTAAAATGTCTGTTATACATGGCCTTTTATAGGAAAACCTCATGGACTGGGCTGTCAAGTGATGTTTATACATGATTAAGTTCGAAAAGCTCCGTTCAAGGTCCTGATTCCTTGCCAGCCATTGGGCCAAAAATGATGGGGTTGTAATCACGTGACAAAGGGGAAAGGGAAAGCATTTTAGTTAATTCTTCGAGGAGCTCATTGGATTCCTGTCTGTGATTCCATCCCAGGCAGATAAATGCAAAGAGTGGCAGCCTTTGAATCACACAGACTGGGTTCATCCTCTGCAGCTCTTTCCTGGAAATGTAGACAGATTCATCTGTCCTGCATTTCAAGGCCTCTTCTGATAAAAATTGCAAGCCACTCACATCTTGCAGAGCTGTTGTGAAGTTTAAGTGAAGAAAACACACTCAGTGGAAAAGGCACACGAAAAATCCCCTGGCCCATGGAACATGGTTCAGAAAGAGTTAAGATTTGAGTTTTATCATTCACTTTCACTGCTAAGAAATTGCAGGAGAAGGCAAAAAAATAGGAAATGAACAGATAATGCTATTTAGCCTGAAAAAAATTTACAATTATGCAGTTATATAGTTAGAAAGTATTAGAACAAGGAGAAAATTGATGAATGCTGTTTTTTAACCCAAGGCCTTGTGCATGTTATGCTCAAGTTCAACCACTGAGCTACAACCACGATCCCCATAGTCACCCCTCACCTACCCACATTGATTTCTTTTGAAAGTCTAGTAACAGAGCCTGGTGTAATAATGTGACTACATTGCTTTATCTCGCATCTGTAACCCTCTTTTGCAAAACGTAACACATTGATCTACACCGTGCTGGCTTATTTGAAGGTTAAGTGCATGAAACAGATTATATATAAAATGAAAAGCAGACATCCTGGCTCCTAACGAGGTGTTTCAAAATGCCAGTACAGGCTGGTATCCACCTGTGAACCCAGTTAGGCAGGAGGCTGACGCAGGAGGATCAAAAGTTTGAGGTCAGCCAGGGCAAATTAGTGAGATTCTGACAAAATAATTTCTTTTCCTGGTACCAGGGATCAAAATAAAAATTCAAAAGGGGCTGGGAGATATTTCACTGCTAGAGCGCTTGCTTAGCATGCAGGAAGTCTTGAGTTCCATCCCTCGTACTGCAAAACAAAACCCCCAAACTAGCAAACAAAATATAAAACAGAAAACTCTCATAATTGGGCTCAAGGAAAATTACAGCTTAGACAGGAAGATTGTAACTGATCATATAAATGACCTCAGAAATACAAGGCACCCATTTCAATTAAACATTTAATCCCTCTTTATTTAATAATCCCATTTTTAATATTTGCTTTTCTGTTGCAAGATGCATTGTTTTCTTTGGTCGCCTATTTTCATCTACAGGGTCTTTCAAAATTTCATTATTAGAAAATATTGTCCCTCTCATCTCCCACAACTAACCGTGGTCTCCCAAAGTGGTTACGGGTCGGCTGGAGATGGAAATGTTCTCCGGCTCCTATAAAAGTGCTCAACTCATAAAAGACGGGTGATCCATGACCTTCTCCCTTTGTCTATTTCCTGGGAGAAGTCCTGAAACACTGGGAAGGTTAGAAATTCCTGAACTGAGAAGATACAGAGGGTGGAAAACTGGAGTCTGCCAACCAGAAAGATAAGCCTGCCACCAAACAAGGAAAGACATCGCACAGTTTCTGAGCCTCTTTCTTCTCTTTTGGTAAAATGCGGAACTCCCAACTGATTGCCTGGAAAATTGCTTCAGGATGCCGGCTCTCCTGAAAGACATTTGAACAAATTTCCCACATGCATGGATGTAAGTCTGAGATTCCTTTAAAGCCAAACACGTGAAGGGATTTCCATGGAGCAGGGTACAGTGTGTATCTCAGGAGCATATACAGCATTTCCCTCTTACATTCCCGTTTTTGCTTTATGTGTTGCCCACTACGTTTCGGGAACTGACTTCTATTAACCCACTATTCTTCCTCTGCTAATACCCTCCTCCTCCTCCTTTAAAACTAAACTCACATTTTCTGGGAAAACCGAGAGTCAAGTGCGTCTCAGGACTGAACAATACATAAGATTCCCGGGTACCGACTCAAGCCTGAAGTGTAATAATCTTGTCGCGCGTGTGCAACTCCCACGTGATCTAAACATCTATAACACCAAAAGTGGCTTATTCCCCTTTCACTTTACAGGGAGAGTTTGGATGCAAATGAAAGAAGAAGCATCTTTTCCTTCATCTCCATAATGGCCTCCTTTAATAATGACTAAGAGCTAATATTTTAGCCTTGCCATAGATCATATTATTTTCCAGAGCAAAACGTGATCGATTTTTTAACCAATCTAAAATGTATTTCAAAAATCTGACTTTTTAAAAAAGTTTTTTATTTTATTTTATTTTATTTATTTATTTTTGGTACCAGGGATTGAACTTGGGACCTCGTGCTTGAGAGGCAGGTGGTGAAAACACTGAGCTAAATCCCCAGCCCCTGATTTTTTTTTCTTTTACAGAACTATTTTAAAAACTTTCAGAAACATTATGGTGTAATGCATGCATCCTAGGAATGATGCTGGAATTAAGTGTAACCTTGAATGAATAATTTAAACTTACTTTGCCATGGTTAATTCAATCGTGTTGCTTAAGGAGAGAATATAATACTTCTCTTTTCTTCATTAAGGAATTGTGTTTTAGCCAAACAAAAACACTTCTGGAAATTATTGGGCAAGGAGGAAAGTCAGTATCTTCAACGTCCTGACTTAATATTATCTTTTTTTTTACCCAGACTCGTGATTCATTTTGCAAAAGGATCAGAGAGACTGGCGAAGATCTATTTACAGTTTAAAATGAATCCTGCTAATTGCCCTTACAGATCTCACTCTGTAGTGCCGTTCTTGGTTCATATGTGAATAATCTAAGCGTGTGTCATTTTTCTGAGGGGGGATTGGGTATTGAACCTAAGGTCTCCTGCATGCCAAGAACATGCTCAACCACGGGGCTACGTCCAGGCATTGCAGGCAAATTCTGTATGAAACGTTTTTTGCTCATCTGCGGAAACAAAATTCCTCACTACAGACAAGTGAGTGCAGAGTCGGCGAATTGTCAGCCACCAGCCCTTGAAGGTGAGCCCCACTTACTGAGGTTCTCCTGCACTGTTATTCTGACAGTACCCATCAGTTCAGGCTGACGCAGAATTCACAACTGGATTCTTGCACCTCTGCTAGATTTGGCAATCAGCCCATTTCTGAGGCACATTAAATTGTCTTTTCTCCAATGCTTACTTTTGATTTTCCTTTTTGCCATAACCAGGACTTAGTAACATTTTCATTCTGTGCTGTTCGTATTCCTAACACAATGCAAAACAAGATAGAGTCCATAACTCAGTGGCACTAGGTTATAAGGGACCGATTTATTGGTTCTGTCTCTAAAGGATATTTTTATTGCATGAAGAGATAGAGCTTTAAGAGAAAGGAATTGGCTGCTTTAACCACACATGAGAGGAAAACCAAGATTTATTTAATAAAGAAAGGAGATTGGGTAAATAGTAAGATCTTTGTCTAGGTGTGCAAGGTTTTGTTAGGTGGTATACGTAATGATTTGAAGTGATGATTTGAAGTGATGACCTTACTACAATAATTATATAGTAGCACCATTGTTTGTATTCCATAAATGCATACATTTTAAAAGACTTATTGAGTTTATTGGTACATTTTAGGTATACCTTATGGTCACATTCATCATTGGCAATTTGTAACTTTGCATGATAAATCTTGGCTATTTTTTCCCCATTCCCCTGACATCCCTTCAATAACTGTAATAAAAAACAAACAGATAAAGGTTCTCTAAGCAACCCAATGAGAAAACAGATGAAAGAGCTGACCCCATCTGTTTCATCTTGGATATCTCAATGTCCAAATAAAAAATAATATTAAGCATCAGGTTATTTTATATTAAAATCCAATGAAGGAGTTATACATGATCACCTAACATAACAAAATTTAAAGAGTGACATTTGTGCATGAAAGGAAAATTAAAGAAACTGGCCTTCCTTACACTGAGGTGAAGGCTTACTTTGGAATAATCCTTGCTTGGCAGTGTTTAGAAGGATGACTCTGGACTTTCCTTTCCATTCCTATATATACACCTGGCAGATTTGTACTCAGGTATGCCAAAACATTTGTCCATGGATGTGCACAGATTTGTTATTTATCAAAATCAACAGCAGGCAATTAAATAGGTGTTTGTCAGCAATGGAATGAATAAATAAATGGAGTCTTCTCATGAACTATCATCGTGTATAAAAATAAAAAAAGAATGAATTACCACTTTGTGCTAAAACGTGAACATAATGCTACGTGAAGAAAATTAGAATAACCGACACTACATTATTCCATTTGGAGGGGGTTGAAAAGCAGCTAAACTCAATGTGTGGCATTGTAGTTTATGTAGGAAGGTAATTAAATTGGTCACGTAGGAATGATAATTATTGAGAAACAGTGCTCAGGAGCCAGAAATGGCAATGCAGGTAATGGTTGATTTTTTTTCTTTTCCGTCTGAGTCAGAAATACATGGATATTCTCACGTTATGATCATTTACTTACCAGTAAGCGGTGCTACCTGTACTTTTCCTTAATACTCTGTGGGTCATCCAAAGCTTCAGTAACCCATTTCAAGGCTAGTTTATTGAGACGGTTGACTATGAATATGCCACAGTATAGCTCAAAGGACGGATTTTGTCTAAGGTACAGTCCTAGTTTTATTTCAAACCTAAGATAAACCAAAACATTTTTATGAGATTTTAAAAATTAATTTCATGTCCTCCGTCTCTCTTCCTTTTGTCAGCCCGGCTGGGATTTTCCCCTTCCCTTCCGTTGTCTAATTAACTCGCATTAAAACGAACAACTTCGCATTTCCCCAGAAGCTTTCTTACATGTGGCTTGGTTTTCTGCTCGTCTCTACCTACATTCAGGTGCACGGAGCCTGGAATGCCCAAGATCGCCATGATACGTGAAGAATCAGGCTGAAAAGAATGCAGTGCTGACCTGTCCTCTAAGCGGGGTCCCATGGTGGAGACATTTGCATGCTTGCAATAACGTGCGCGCATTTGTAAGTTTCCCATCAGCTGAACCGGAGCATGAGACCATCAGCTTCTAAAGGGGAAAGGTTTGTTTTGGCTTGTGGTTTCGGTTAGTACTGTCCACTTCGGGCAGCCCATTGCTCTTGGGTCTCTCAGAAGTGTGTGAAGACGTTTGCTCTGGGAAGCTCAGGGACAAGCAAAAGAAGAGGAAGATCTGACTATAGAATGCATTCTGGTGAGATCCGTCAGGGCATAGCATCACTGATATGGGATGCTAATGCTTTTCCTAGTCTGGACACCAAAGGAGAAAAATTAACCTAAGGAAGTTGTCTTTGTGTGTGTGTGTGTGTGTGTGTGTGTGTGTGTGTGTGTTTTCTTCTTAATCACAAACGTAACTACTTGCCTAGTGAGATTATTTGCCATAGATCAATACCACACCCGTATGGACATTTGTCTGCAAATACGGACTCGGGACTCTGTGAGATTGCCTTCCCTCGTGTGTTTCCTGGCTCACCAAATGCTCCTGATGGGATCGCCTGTCTGTGAAAGAGACCATGTCTCCCGACCTCTTTTCTGTCTCCTATTGCCTACCTGTGTGTGTGTGTGTGTGTGTGTGTGTGTGTGTGTGTTTTACTTCTCTTATAATGAAACCATGTCACTTTTAAGCTTCTGTAACTGATTTATTTCACTTAACATTATGGTCTCGGTGGTATTTATGCACAGTGGAGTGTATGCTTTGGCAGAGTTAAGCTCAATTCTCACAATAATGTAGCAGTCACATAAAGAAAAGACTGAAAAATGTCTTAAAGATGAATTCACTTACTGTTTAAAAAAGATTAAAACCCAAGAAGTCAACTGTGCTCACTTTCTTCAAGTTTCTCCCTGAGTATTTTATTTTGTTGTTTTTAAAAATTAAGTTTATTGGTGCATTTTAGATGTGCACAATGATATCATTCACTACAGAGAATTGGTACCTGTGCATGATATATCTGATTTGAGTTTCGCTCCTTGCTTCCCTATAATTTATTGCAACCTCCAAAGCGACACCTATAACATGATTTTTCAGTCAAAAGATCAATAGTGAATATTTACCACTTCTTCCCTTGTGCAGGAAATATACTGGAAACAGTTCTGTAAGCGATATTGAAGGGACCGTCCCTGAAAGGCCATTTGGTTAGAAATAACCAGAGAAGATTCATTGAGACAGTTTCTTTTCCCCCTTAAACCACAGTTGGGTGAAATGTTCAGAGTTTTGTTGCCACGGAGACAATAGCAGTTCCACGACAGCTGGAAGGCAACACTTCCACACAGCCTTGGAGAACGCTTCTCCAGGCAAGGCATTGTTAAATCCAAGTGTTGTTTGATAAGAGAGACAGAGAGAGTAGAGAGAGAGAGAGAGAGAGAGAGAGAGAGAGAGAGAGAGAGAGAGAGAAATGAGTCAACATGTTAAACCTGTGGAGCTCAAAATCATGTCAGAATTGACAGCTGCCTTCAGACTCCAGGTCCCAGTAAGATCACGGATCTCTTTTCAGAGGGCTTCAGATCTTTTGAAGTTCCCTTTTTCTGTCTGCAGATTAGAGGACGCACAACTTAGGGGCATGGAAATTAATTGATATACACTAACCTCTTAACCCTACATTTCCTGCAGTCTATCGCCAAAACGCAGAAGGTACACGCAAAGGGTGACAATTTCATCGGGCACATTCGAGCTCTGGAATCAGTATATTTACTTGTCAGGATCAACAACGGATTGCGTTTGACCATTGCAATCGATCTACATATCTATTTATGGGGAGATAGATATAGATACCTATATCGCTAATAATGTATTCTGGGTAATAATTTCAGGCTGCTACTTAGGTTGAGGTTGACGACAAGGAAATATAAAGAGCGGAGGAATATCTTCACATCACAAAGTTCCCGTTCTTGTCCGTAGATTAAAAACAGACCCTTCAAGATACTCCTCGCTTTATGTTCAAGTCTTTTAGGGACTATTTCTTCCTGCATCATTCCCGCAAAAATGTCCACCTCCTCTACAAGTTCACATCTCTCGGCTCACGTATCCCTCTCTTCGGATGTTTTTCCTGGAGTCCGTCTGCAACCGACACCTGCAAATCGTGGGGTGTTATTGTCAGCTACAGCCCTTATTGAGTCTTCCTAGATGAAAATCATTTGAGGAACAGCCTTATATCTTGATTCGTACCCCCCACTCACCCAACGGGTGACCATGGAAATACACCAAGGACTCTGGATGTCCCTCCCTCTCTTCCTCTTCTACTTCTCCTCCTCCTTCTCCCCCCCCCCTCTAATTTCTTGCCACCATTTTATAAACTTTTTTTTTTTTTTGGTACCAGGGAATGAACTGGGGACTTTCCATTTGCCGGGAAGGCAGCAGAACCACTGAGCTAAATCCCTGGCCCAAATACCTTTTGTACTTGTAAAAACTATTCTGTGTGGAAGTCTGCCTGCTTTTCGAGTGCATTGATTTTGTTGGAAGATGAACTCACTGTTCTGTTTCCATGCGGAAAAGCTATTGAAGCCAGCCAGATGTCATAGTATGATTCTGTTTACCCTGTGAGGAAGATGGAGAAGCTCTGCTTCAAGGAAGGGATTATGGAGTGGAAGGGACAGACTTCAGGGATTCTTTTGCTATCGTGAGGATCCCAAGCAGGCTGTCAACTTCTGCTATGGCTGGAACCATGCATTAGAACGAAAACTATCTTTAAAAGTCCCTAACAGAGGACTCCAAGGACTCTGCTGCTTTCTGCAGGAAATGGCTTATTCACTCATGGTGAAAACAGCCAAGAAGCGAGTTTGGGGCCGGACATTCATATTGGACTTTTGAGGTTACGCTTTTTTACTTGCCAGTGCCCATGAGTATTCACAGTGTTTCCTGAAGCTGTCTGCCTGTTTTATACCTGTCACCTCCTGAGATGGATGCTGGGTCTCCTAGGGCTGTAATGGGGAAAGATCATCTGAGAACAAAGCCTGAATGTTACCCATGCACACTCTACCTGTTGGAGGCCAGGGAGACAAAGGACTGACTCTAGCACAGTTTTCTACTAGTTTGAAGACAAGGGAGAGATGCACTGGGAAAGAAGTTTCACTTGAGGACTCAGGGCTGCAACATATGTCTTGACAAATGGGCCATATGCTGTGGGCTTTGCGCAGGCAAAATTCCTGGGGAATTGGGGAGGCCTTCCCTAAGTAAAGATTAAAGTTCAACAAATGCTATCAAAGCTGTTCTGCTGATTATTTTCAGCTGGCCAAGCCTAGAGTCCATCGTGCAGTTAGCTCCAGAAAAGCTCTGGGCTTCACTTCTCCATTGTGCTGTATCCAAGGTTTCCATAGGAGATTACAGTTGTGGAAGAACTCTGAATTTATTGGGTGCATAGGATTCATTGCATGCCAGGAGAGGCCACTGCTTTTAACAACATGGTGGCTTTACATCGTGTTTGACAACCAAAAATATGGAAGCTTCTAGGACCCTCAGAATCCCAGCACCGACAGCGAGATGAAACATGTAGAATGATTCCCTCCCCTGGCCAAAACCTGAGGTGAGCTTCGCTGACCCAGGAAGCCCAGGACACAACGGGAATCAGGCAGGGTCCTGTTTGGTAGGCAACAAAGGGCGAGAACATTCCAGACATCTTACATAAACCAAAGTAAGCCGGAATATTTTTTTTAAAACTAACGCTTGCAATCTCCACTGTTCTCATTTCCCTTCACCCTCCCTGGAGGCAGACAGAGGAAGGTGTGTCTGGGAGCCACAAGCCACGCTCCATTCCTGGGCTGCTGTCGTTCACAGAGTGCTGAGCTCTGCTCCCCATGTATACCATGGGTGAAGCGGCTTCTCCCCGCTGGCATGGAGGGCGTCTTTCAATATTAACTGCAGTTAGGGATGAAATTCTTCTTTTGGCCCATGGGTTGCATTTACACTCCCTTCCCTTTTTAATTTTCACTTTTCCAGTTTTCTTTTTATTACCACACGCTTTCAGCACATTGCTCTTTCCATTCCTTGTGGGGAGTTGGTGCACGAAGCAACTTCATTCCTTTTCTCATCCCTTTTCTTCTCTCTTCCCTGTCCAGTTCCCTCCGTCTCTTGATTCCCTTCCCTTTGGCAAAGGATCTCCCTGTTTCCTATCTATCTTTTATTTTGCTCTTTGTTTGTAAATTACATTTCTCCTATGAAAGAAACCACGCGACCATATGTGTCTGTTTGACTTCACCTAATGTTATGGTCTCAAGGCACTTCTGTTTTCCTACAGATGACTCAAGTCTGTCCTTCATGGCACAGTAATACTTTATTATTTACACATACTACATTTTCTTTACCTCTTCTTCTGTTGCTGGCCATAGAGCTCGCTTCCAAGATGTAGTTATTATGAATTATTTTGCTCTAAACATGGATGCGCATGGATCACTGCTCTACAACACCTTTAATTCTTTCTAGATGTCCCCCTAAAACCACACGAGGTCACATGGAGATTTAGCTCAGTGGTGCCATTGCTTGACTTGCAAGCACAAGGTCCCGAGTTTCATCCTCAGTAAAAAAAAAAAAAAAAAAAACCCAAACCCAAACCAAACCAAACAAACAAACAAAAAACATGAGGTCATAGATGGGGATTTTTATTGGCGGCTGGATCTAGTGTGTGTGGCGCTGGGATTGCTTCATGGTGAAGTGCTAGGATGGAGGGCACTAGGAGTAAGGGTGTGAGTGCTACCTGCCCTAAGTCACCTGGCTAAGGTACGGGGGAGGATCAAAATGTATATTTGATAATGTAAAATAGGGAGAAGAGGTCCAAAGGAGAATGGGAAATGGGAAGGATACGGGAAAGGAAAAAAAATATATATATATAAAAGGAAAAAATGGAAACAATGTCTTTGAAGATAGGCAGGGGTGGAGGGGATGAAGGGAAGGCAGGACAATGGGAATAAAAATAAGAAACAAGATACATCATGTAAAGGAACAAGATGAAAGTCATCGTACTACATACCTAAAATGTACGGACAAACTTAACAAGTATAA